TAACCTAACAAGAGCTTGATATCGGTATGTACGTGCCCTTCAACGTAATCACTCTTTTCACTACCAAAGTACTACATGATTCCACAGTTGTGTACCTTAGTTTTAGCTTTATTACATATTGGTTATATGTACAGAATTCACACACACACATATATATATATACCTTGCGGACTTGGTCATCTACAGCATTCTTGACTTGTGTACCATCGAACTTATTGCTGATCTCAACTGATTCTTCAGGGTTAGTCGTGTTATCTTCAGATGCACGTATATATAAAATAAATTAGTTAAATCATTATTTTGTTTTATTATATTACATCCGAATTGAATGGTCGCTGTACCAGGTTCTTTTGTGTCTGCCATTGATATATAATATTACAAAAAGGCCTATTAAAATGAACAAAGAAAAGTCGCTGTTGGAAAAAACAGCAAAAATAAAAAGGGCAAGTTAATAAAGCAACATACGTGGCACTTAATTCTTTCTCGACGTTTTATTTCATCGTTGTACCCCTAATCACGTTTAAGAAGAAGTTGGTTGAGTTATTGCGGACCAAAAAAAATTAAATATGTATATAAACGCCAACGAATAATGCTGTTACACGATCAAAACAACTCACGCATTATTTTCAAAAGTCGTGCCTGCTTTTACTTGTCAAGAAAATATTATGATATACTGTTAGCCCCATCCTCTTTTTACATTACAAATTTCTGACTTGTTATGATAATAATTGCTTGACAACAATAAATAATATGATTATCATATTAATGAAAAGAGTATTTGCTCTAGGAAAAGCATCGTTCGTTGTCTTTATACGAATTATTAACATAAGATCGTGTGACTTGGCATTTGATTATGATGGTGGGAGTGGGGTTCTTTTATGTAACTCTAATTGTTCAATATCAAGCATTTTATTTTTTCAGACTAAAAATGAATGATCTTCTTTTTTTAGAGCTATAAACTGAGCACTGTAACTAACCATGGCAGTAAATAAACCCCAAGAATAAAGGTAAGATGGTATATTAGACTGGATAATTTTATATTATTGAAGCTCAAGTATCTATATAGAAGGGTGTAACCGATGTAAGAAAAAAAATCCTTACCACATATATATAGTATAATCCCCCTTTTTTACATGGGTGTATGCAATCAATCTATGTGTCTTGTCATGACAAATATAAAATAAATCTTCGAGTAAACTACTGGAATTTTTATACTAATATGTTGTCAACCCAATGAGATATATAGAACAAGTCGTCGTTTTGAATATAAAGATATTTTATCATTATATTTGCATTAACCCAATTCGCAATTTTCCAAATCTGGATATCATTATCCTTTCCACCCCCCATTTTTTTTGGCACTAAAGCAACGACCCTTCTCTCCCCAACCCCCGATTTTTTTTTTCGGTCATATTTTCAGAGCAAGTGCAGAGTGAGAAACAGAAAGACCTTTTTTTTTTCATTATTATCTTCTTTTCTTCCTTTGTTTATTAATTACCCAAAAAAAGCCTTCTTTTACATTTTCTATTCTTTTTAAATAATATTTTAATTTCGAAAGACATGCTAAGCACTTATGCATGGATTTTCATTACTGGCATTATTGTCTTCTTTATTATAGTTGTTATTCTCTTATTTTTTACTCGTTCGCCTATAGAATTACCGTTATCTGTAAGTGGCGGTGACTCTGATTTTGAAGAATGGCCGATAGAATCTGAAGAACAAGTAGCACAACTTCCTGAAGATGCCAGACTAAGTTATGAACGAGCTAAAGGTATTTTTTTATACATAATAACACAACTTTTAATCTTACGGAAATGAAAGCGAATACTGTTTTTTTTTGGCTGATAATGAGAGAACTACATTTATACTCAATAAATACATTAGTCTTCCAAGAGCGTCATCCTCCAGATAGTATTCCCACAGATATCACCCCGCCTCAGTTTGTCACTATTCAAGAAAAAGGCGTCTCGGCATTTGAATTTGAATGGGAACCAGATGCAAACTGTTTTGTCGCCGGTCGTACCGAGATACAATTTAATTATGGTGAATCGTGTGTACAAACCAATCTTCCTTTACCAAGAAATCAAGAAGTATATTACTGGGAGGTAAAATAAATCTTATTTGGAAATATGGATGGGCGGTTGTTATTTAGTTGGTTTGACGAATTAATTAAAATGATTATGCTAGGCAAAAATGTTTGAAGTTCCTGATACTACTACTGTTTCTGTTGGTGTGGCAACAAAACCATATCCAAGTTGGCGGTTACCAGGTAAAAGCAATGAAAGGCTAAAAAATGTGGTAAAAAAAAAACCTACAAAAAAATGTATATTAAGTTATGATTTATTATGATTCATGCAGGATGGAATCGTTATTCCATTGGATATTTTTCCAATAATGGCTGTAAATATTTTAGCTCGCCATTTAATGGCAAACCTTATGGTTTAACGTATACACATGGTGATGTGATTGGTGTCGGATATCGCCATCGCACAGGCACTATATTCTTTACACGAAACGGACGTAAACTTGAGGATGCATATACGGGTTTACGATGGAACTTATTTCCAACTGTAGGAGCAAATGGTCCTTGTCAGGTTCATGTCAACCTGGGACAAATGGGATTTGTATTTGTTGAAGCAAATGTGAAAAAATGGGGTCTTGCACCATCTCAAGGAACACGCGCACCACCACCTGCATATGGATCAGAAAATGACACTATTTTATTAGCCTCTGGGAGTTTTCAGAATAATGGCAACGATGATAACGAAGGTGGCAGTGCCAGTGGAAGTAGTAATAGCAGTTACAGTAACCGTCATCCTACTCAACACCAACAATATGAAGACCAAGACGATGGAAATGACGGTAGACAAAATCCTGTATTGATTAACATTGATAGTCAGCCTTCTACAAGTACCAATCCAACGGGTTTAGAACCACCACCTTATACTTCACCAAGTACTAGCAGCAATAATAGTAATAATGATCAACAACAACAACAACAACCTTTATTAGATTGATCCAGGAATCGCCGTTACCCTTTTTAACTTTCTTATAACTTCATACCCTTTTTTTTACTTTTTGTTTTCCATTCCTTTTACTTTATATTTTTTTTCTTTCTTATGTGCAAATTACTTCCACTCCCTCGTTATTCGTCGGTTGTATATAATTTATTTCTATCTTTTTATCTTGTCTTCTTTTCTTAAAAAAAAAGATCTGATCAAATCAAATTGGCTTTTATTATTAATACGATGAGATAAATGTATATGTATGTCCGGGTATATGGCCAAATGGATATGGTGTTATAAGGATATTGCTTTTTAAGCAGACTACAGATCATATGAAAGATATAGACACAAAGAATATAAAGAGCCTATATATTATATTGGGGATAACTTCTATAGTCTTATAATCATATATACATAAACATAAACATACCGTTATTGTGCTCAATAGGGTAGTAGAGACTTTATTCTAATAAACATATTGCTACTAACTATGACATATATATTATAATAAACTATTATGGAAATTAATAAATTAAAAGCACATCTAATTTAAAACAAAAAGGACATTTATATCAATAGTTATAAAATATTGTTTTTTTTAGTATCATTTTATAAACTCTCTATTTTTATAATCTTTTGGACAATTATATCATTATCTTTGGTATTAGAAATATTATTTCTTATATTTTTATACAGAGTAGTAATATAAAGCCTACTTAATAACTTTTTTTATCTATTAGATATAGTATAAAGAAAGTCTTCATAGAGTTTTAGATGTTACTTTTTTGCTTTTTTACAGATTGTTCAATTTTAATTACTAGCTTCTATATTCTATACAGGGAATTGCTATGGACACCCTATAAATGAAAAGGTGTCAAGCAGGCTCTTAGACCATGTAAACTAAAGTACCAGTGCTATCAACACCAATACTATTTCTTTGATCACTCACATACATTATTAAAAGTATATATTATCTATCGTTCGTTTTGTCTTCATGTGGATTACAGCTCCACTTGTGTACATAACGATATAGTGAGAAAAGATAAGAAATATTAAGCATTATTCATAAAAAGGTGATGAGCTACTACTATAAGTTCCATAAAACATTTTTAAGTTATATAATGATAATAACTATATAATATATGGTATATAAATGGCTGAATATGACGTAATTATATTAGATTATTATTGATTTTGAGAAAATATCAAAGTAGGGTGTCTTTAAGAGCTGAAATTACCTACTTCTTAGGTGTCCGTAGTAATTCCTTCTATATAATATACTTTTATATCTTAATCTTTTTTTCCCTCCTTTATACTTTAACTATACTTTAAAGAGTGACAAATTTTACAGCCTACTATATTAACTATAGAAGCTGTCGTAGTATTAAATTCATATGCTTAGGTAGATTTTTCTTATTATTATATATATTATATATCAATTTATATATTCGTTAGAAATATTTAGTAGAGAAAATATAAGTATTATGTCGGAATTATAATATTTTACTTAACAGCTAGTTATTAAAAATTTTATTATAAATTATTATAAATTCAAAAAAAATTATTTAAAAAATATTTTATACACAGAATCATTTATAAAAATATTTCTCAGCCCTAAATCGTATTTTTCTTTTATTGTTCTAGTATTAATTTACACTGTGCTATCTTAAAAACATTAATATTTATCAATATTGTGTAATAAAACATTTATTGTGTATGTTTCCTTTTAGTTACAGTTTGTATAATCTGACACGTGGTAGAGTTTCCCTTGTTGTAAAGTCTGTCAAAAATCAATCAAAAGAAAAAGGTCAAAGTAAAAGTAAAAGGGATAGAAAAGATAAAGATTTATTATTTTGCGGTTGAACCGCCCATATTTATACGTACTTAAGTAGTCACATGACCACCCAAGGATCTAATTCTAAATCACGAATCACGTGAACCTTTTCTTTGGTCTGACCAAACGAAACTACCACACAACGTGTCAAATCAACAAGCGGGCATGTGGCCAAATGGATAAGGCGCCTGACTACGAATCAGGAGATCGTAGGTTCGACCCCTACCTTGCTCACTCATTAACTATCAACTTCTAATAAATAGAAGTGATTTATTTTTTGTCGTAATTATTGATCGGTTATTTTTAATACCGATTATGCTTTTTTACTGCGGCTTTCTTCTTATTCATTATCATCCGCAGTAACATTATTATTAATATTATTCACTATTATCATTATCATTATCATTATCATCCGCAGTATTACTATTACTATTATTAATTATTTATTTATTATTATCAACATCATCCGCAGTAACAATATCATTATTATTTATTATTATTATTATCTTCCGCAGTAGTTTAGAAAACATATAAATATAAGATTATTTTATTAAATAAAAAGACATCTTTTATCTACCCTACATTTTATCTATTACCTTTGTGGTCTTTTCCTGTGTGGTTATAATTACCTGTGTGGTTATATTAGTCTTCGTGGTTACATTATCCGTCGTATTTATATTCTCTCTTTGTGGTTCTCTCTCCGTGGTTTTATCAATAAAAAAATACGACATTTTTGGTTTTTCTTGATTTTTGTGTTACCTTGGTACTACTATTATTATTATTACTACCACCACTACATACTACAACAATAGTGTAAGAAAAGAGAAGAAACAGGATATAATATAAAATGTTCTTTATTTGATCATGCTATACGTTTAATAATCTTATGTATCCTTAAATAAAGAGAATATTATTTCGTTGTGTTGCTTTTGTAGTAGCTAGAGTGAAAAAAAATAAACATGTGATATAATGTGAGTCGTGTCAAGTGCACAAAAATAAAATGAATGAAAAGCGCAGAATAAAGCAAAGTTATATGAACTAAATGTTCGTACTTATTAGATAATGAAATTTATATAATACATAGTTTCTTCACTTATACAAAGGTAAATATGTTTTTTAAAATAAAGTTTATAATACTTTATTGATAATCAAAAAGAATAAGAATATACTAGTAAAAGTAATAATGTTCTTTTTTTTTCAATGAATCAGGTCAGTAGAAAAAGGAACAAGAAAAGGTAAGAAAGTATTAGCATAACAGAGAATAAAAGAAAATAAGAGGTAGATTATGAATATATCGGGAATGAATTATAAAAAATAAAGTAATAAGAAAAGAAAAACTATCATACAATAAGAATGTAAATATACATAACGGAGTGTACTACTATTATTCGATAATTAATAGCGAAATGGGGTCAAAAGTGAGATATCTGGGAAAAAGGAGGAATATGAAAGTTGTTACTAGGAAGGATGGGAAAGTAATAGTGAGTTTGTATGAGAAAATCATAACGTACTGGGAATAAAATAATAGTAGATCATTCTTTTTTTTTTTTGAGAAATAACACACATGAATAACAATAATAATAGTGGGTTGGGTGAATAAACAGAAAACTAAAGGGAAGCATAATTTGTTATTTTTTCCTATTTGGCTTCTTCAATATGTTGAATGTTTTCAAACTTGCGTTCATCATTAAATGAACCATTGCTACCATTAGACGAACCGGTCGTATTATGGAGCTCTTCATCAGTTAGCTTAGGCTTGCTTTCAGTCTTTTGGTCAAGATCCTTGCCGGTGGTTTCTGGCATACTATTTTTAGAAGAAAAGTTTAATTAGAATAATAAACAAATAAAAACGAAGTATAGTGTACTTACCAGAAGAAACAGAAGAGGAAGCCAATAAAGTTGATAGCAGCAAAGACGGTGAAGCTGTAACTTCCGAGGTTAGCTGATTGTTGTGGCCAAAGAGTGTTTATAAGAAAATTGAACAGCCAATTTGAAACACAGCCCAATGCAGAACCAGGAGCAAGAGCAGAAAGAGGAACAAGTTCGGGAGCAATGATCCATGGGATAGTACCACAACCTAAAGCATAAGTGAATGTAAAAAGAATAGCACCACAAATGACTAGAGGTCCAAGACCTTCGCCCAAGACAGCGCCGATAACGATGAAGATACAAGAAATAGTCATACCCATTGTAGAAAGCATCATGAACATCTTACGACCAACTTTATGCAACCAAATAACACAAATAAAAGTTGCTACAAGTTTTCCAGTAGCGTTGGCAAGCGAGACGTTTTGAGCTAATTCAACGTCGTGCAAGACACTTTGAAGGAAGCCGACAGCATAGACTATATAGTCGTATATAAAAGAGAAAGGGAGGGAAAATAGTATATATATATATATATATATATGTGTGTGAGAAGTGTTGCTGTATTATACTTTGCATTATATTTTGTTCAAAAAGAGAAATGAAATAAGATTGATAAAACAGAAAACATACCAGACAAGGGACCAATACCACCTACTTGGTTGTAAGCTTGAATGACAACAACAACGAATACCATCCAGGAAACATGACGATCCTTGAGAGTAATGACATCAATAATGTTCATCTTCTTAACATTGGAGTCTTTTTCACGTTGACGAGCGGCAAGCAAGTTTTCAAATTCATCGCTAATGTCAGCATCACCACGAAGCCTCTGTAAAGCATGACGAGCTTCTTCAATTTTTCCATCTGCACATAAACGACGAGGGGATTCAACGCAGTAGAAAAACATCAAAGCAAGATTGATAGCTGCTAAGATACTAGGTATGCCCCACAAAAAGCGCCAGACGGGGACAGCTTTCATATAACGACCACATACTTGAGTCAACAAAATACCGAGATTAAGAAAGAACTCAAATACGCTACCAAGCGCGCCGCGGCTCTTTTTGGTCGAAACTTCAGAAATGTAAATAGCAATTGAGGAACCAGCCATACCTGCACCGAAACCGACAAGTGCACGACCAACAGCATACTAATTACAAAAAAAAAAGAAAACCAAGGAATGAATAAGTAACTATGCTTTGCATTTATTGGGGTATTAAAGTATAATTATAAAAGAAAAGGAATTTGTATTTTACCATTCCAATGTTGACAGCACAGGCAGATAAGATGCCGCCAAATATAAACCAAGCGCAAGAAATCATAATATTAATTCGACGAGGTAGCCATACATTCATGTACATAGTGCTGAAGCTACCAGCAAGACCACCGAGAGCATAAGCACCAACTGTGTAGCCCTACATTGATATATAATATATGTTTACTAATTAGCAACAAATATTGGTTAATATGATAGATAGAACTCAAAGCATCATACCCTAAAATAGAAAGTATTGAAAAATTAGCTTTAATATAATATCTTTTATCTTATCACATTGATGCATATAATAAGAAAAATAAAAAGTTTCTTACCAAGTAAATGAACTCATAGGTAAGCAAGGAGGAAGGGCACCATAATCTTTATCAAGATCAATGTCTTCACAAGACATGATGGTGGTCTGAGGCATATTAGGAACACCTAGTAGTAAGTTGTAGAAGGAAAAATAAAGTGTCAGAATAAGTGATAGGAGAAATGTGAATCAAATGACTTTCATCAATTAATTATTAATGTGGGTCTTACTAATATGCCAACCAACGTTAAAGCCACTAACATGTAAAAATGATAATATACGGGTAAGTCATTTTGGCTTTTGGTTACGCGTTCTTTTTAACGAGCTATTAGAACAGGACAAAAGAAAAAAGGTTAAGTTACCCAATGGCAGCAATAAGGGCACATGAGGTCATGTATAATGGGAAACCAAGCTCGTCTGATCGTTTACTCATAGTGTAAAAAGAATTGGGACGGAGGTAGTAAAAAAAAGAATAATCTATTCGGTATCAAGCCGAGATAATGATTAGATATATGAAATGATGTGCAAGAAAAAAAAAAGGATAATGGTCAAATATTGATGCCATTTTATACCTACGCGGGCTTCAAAGTAGGTGGTACTTTGAGTATACCAGTATACTTTTAAAACTAGAGCGTGTGATTCGTCCAAGAGATCTCTATTCACATCATAAGTAGAAGATGCTGTTAGTATAATATCCCCGCAAAAGCGTAATTATTGAAGCGGGGTAACCCATTTTTATCTTTAAAATTAGACGTTATCTGTCAATAGTTATTTAAGTTTTATTTGCTTGCTTTTTTACTACTACTATTATTACTCTTATTTTTATTATTATTTAATACAGACTGTACTATTCCATGTTGACAGGTTTATTAATTTTCAAAATATAGAATATTTGTTCATATAAAGTGACAAATGAGATTGTTTCGTGCGAAATATACCCATAATTTCTCAGATATAGCTAAAAGCTTGTATCACGTTAATCCACATGTCGTCATATGGCAATAGATAAGTGGCAAGAAAAAAGAGCCTTGTAAAGTTATGGATTAAGCTTACGTGGGTTAATGGGTGAGAAAAAAAAAGGTTTATTGAGATACTAAAAGTGGGACTATAGATTACAAAAAAAAAAAAATCGGGAAGGATTAGGATAACTCAAAGAATCACACACAACACATAAAAAGTAATATACGATAGTTTAGTAGAAATATTAAAGGTAGGTAATTGAGAGAGACTACCTAATATTCACGAAAATCAGAGGCTTCTATTATGATGAAAGTAATAAAGTGATCAAAAATATAATAATCTGATTAAAAATGATCGATTGTAACAATGAACAATGAACAAGTCAAAAAAAAAACAGAAACAAATATATTCTATAATTCCTCTTTTATGCTTTTCTCTCTCTCTCTCACACACACACATTGTTGTTCATGTTTTGTGGACCAGCTAAAAAAAAAAAGACACGTTACACCAAACTCAAACTTGTTGATGCAAGCATAATTGGTCAAATACAACATTCTTGGCTTTCGAAAAAACATTTCAACGTAACTTTTTTTACAAGAATAGAATACTATATTGAAATTAAGAAAAATATAGTCCTACTGAAAAAGGAAAGCATCACCAGTCATTGACACGGCATGGATGAACGGACCTTCCTTTTGGACCTACACCACCTCCTTCCAAACTAAAGCTCCAGTTATGCTTAGTACAAATTAGTTTGTTTCCTAAAACTTGTCCCCAAGTTGAGAGGTCGACTCCCTTGTGTGGACAGAAACGATCACATTCAAAGGTATCCCCAGTGGCTGT